GTGGCGCCTCCCCCCGGGCGGAGAGACGGAGCAGGGGGGCCGCGGGGTGAGCCTGCCCCACGGACAGACGGAGCAGGAGAGCTATGGGGTGAGCCTGCCCCACGGGCTGCACCCTCACTTGCCCGGTCTTGCCCTGTCCCTCTCTGGTGGGCGCACCCGCCCTCCTGCACATTACATGAAGCACTGCCACGTGTGTTCAGGCGTGTGCTGCGTGGGGACCAACACGAGGGCCGACATGGGGCTGCCGTGCAGTCATACCCTGAACCTCTGTCCTTGGGCCACAGAGGCCTCCGCAGAGGGCAGCCCGGCCCTTCTCTGAGGTCGGAGACCGTGGCGTTGTGTGGGAAGGACCTCCCGGAGCTGTCCCAGAGCCTGGTGAAGGAGGCAGGTATGCAAGGCAGACTTGGGAGGCCCAGGAGCTCGGGGTGCAGAGCTTGCCCGGCCGGCTCCAGGCTCGAGGAGCGGCTTGGCAGACGCCTGGGGAGGCCTGGCTCAAACACAGCACATGAACACGGAGTAATGCTGAAGGATTAGGGTGGGCAAGTGGCCAAAATCCCAGTGGGCGACTTCTCATGGGTGACGTTCGCACAGGACTGGTCAGAACTGGAGGCCCCTGAGAAATCACAGTTGGGCGTGGGCAGGGGAGGAACCCCGCACACCACTTCGGACCCGCAGTTCCCAAACTGCTTCGGGTCAAGGCCGTCTCTGCGATCTGCCACTCTCCACACAGCACTCATACTGAACTGCGCGTCAACCTTAGTAGGCTGGGGGACGCCTCTCCTCCAGGGGACAGCCCCTAATCTAGGTTGGATGACAAAGGCTTCCTCCTGAACCCCCAGTCTGCACCAAGCCTAGGACCAGCCCAGGGGCCTCTGCAGCTCTCGGGCACCACCTGTTGGCCGGTCTCGGCATTAGTAGCAGAGGATGCGCCCAGCAACAGGGAGGCCGGCTCCTCTTACTGGGCGGTGCCTGCTCTAGGCAGGCGCTGGGTGTGACCCTGAGGACCCTCAAGGCCGGGGAAGAGAGCGCGCACTAAGAGGGCTACACGTGCCAGGCCTGGGGGAGAAGTGGAGAGTGGCGGGTGACCGGGTGGAAGGCCACCGTGCGGTCAGGGCAGACTGCATCCAGCCTGCAGAGCCCAGGCTCCAGGGGCCTTGTGGAGGAGCAGGGCATGTGGTGATAACGGCTGGGCAGGGGTGAGGAGACAGGGACCAGGGCTGAAACAGGGCAGGTCGTCACAGTCACTGATGTGTGGTGACAGGGGACAGCATGTGCAGGACCCTGCAGTACCCTGGGACAGGCCCAAGGGCAAGCTCTCCTGGAACGGGCCGCAGATAAGAGCGGGCGCCTGTGAGCAGTGGCCTCTGTCGCGCACGGCCCGTCCAGCCTGTGTGCGCAGGACAAGGGCAAGGCCTGGCCCTGAGAGGGCAGGCCACATCCAGCCAGGAGGCAGAGAGCCGCGGGGGGAGCTGCAGCAGCCAGGACACGGGAGGCAGGCACGCCGCCCCCAGGCCGCCACGACCAGCCGGCTGACGGGGACCCTGTGCTCTGACAGCCATGCCCCTCCTCCAGTCCCCACAGTGTGCGGCAACCTGTGTGCAGGGCACCCCAGGCACACCCAGCGTGTGCACAGAAACACCCTCCCAAATGAGCAGGTGGGCACACCCCAGGCAGGCCAGGTGCGAGCAGGCAGATGCAGCCCCAGGGCCGCGGCTCCCCGACAGCACAATGCAAGGACCTGGTCTCAGTAAGTCGGTGAGACCATGGCAAAGGGGCCTGGGGAGGGCCTTCCTTTGCTGCCCGGAGCCTCCTGGCAAGGCCACTGATGGGAAGCGGGCAGGCAGGTCTCCCACCTGGACAGCGCCCAGCTTCTCAGTTCCAGAGCGGAACTGATGGGGCCAGGTGCCCTGTCCACTGCTCCGTGGGTTGGGGTGGGGGGGCCAGTGCAGGGAGGACAGTGCTGCTGAGTGTGACCGAGGTGCCCACAGACCCCCAACTGGCCATTGCGGCAGCTCCCTTGTGGGCAGAGGATCTGCTGGCAGGCCCTGAAAAGGCTGTGGACAGAGGCCAGGGCCGGCCCCCAAGGGCTGCTGAGGACACTCCCAAAAGCACATGGTGTGCAAGTCACCAGGCCCTCCTGGCCCCCGTGGGAGCCCAGTGACAGGGTGGGGTGCTGAGAGGGCCCTGGTCAGGAAGAGACACAGCTGGTGGGGCAGGAGCTTCACAGCCAGACTCTCCCTGCGTGGACGCATCAAAGGGACAGTGGTTGCAGCAAGAAAGGCCCCTCCAAGGGGTGGCCGCCCCCAGGTACCTTCTCCGACATCATCACACCCCATCGTACTGCACTAGGAAAACCACTGCCTTGCAGGGCAAACCATTCACGGCTCTTTGAGGTGTAATTAGGCATATTTGTTGATAGATAAACACAGGAGTGTTGGTTTGATCTTGGAGCAATTGCTTCCATAAACCGCAGAGAAAAGTTTTAATATTTAAAGCAGATTTTGAGGAAGCGAATGTGCTTTCATCTCTTGGGAAGAGCTGTGTAAGTGTTTTGTTTCCAAAATGACATTCTCAGGAGTTAGAGTTTATGAATGGAGTAATTGAAAACAATTATCCTTGCTTTCTCCCCCACCCCATCAGACTTGTTCGCCTTTGAGGTAGACTCACTCCTACCCTTCCAGATTCGGGGAGCAGCCTCCTGCTCCCCCATACAGCTCTGGACCACATCCAAATCCACATTTCCATGACAAGGAAAAGCACTGCACGTCAGTCAAGGACTGGGGCAATTTTTCAGAACTTCCTTAAGGTTAAAAACAACACATCTCTGAGACCAGAGAGGGGTGTGGTGGTTAGGGCACTGGACTCCCATAGGGCTGACTGCAGTTTGAGTCCCAGACCTGGCAGCTTGCTCTCTCCCTCTCTGGTAAGCACACATGCCCTATACCAAATTGAAAAAATTATAATAAAAAATAAGGCTATAAAAATCAGTGCATCACAGCGCCAGTTAAGACAGCACAGGGCCACTAGAAATCACCCCGTTATAGGCCAGCCCAGCACAGCAGTTAAGGCAGTGCACCAGAACAGGCCCCGCACGGCCCCAGGTCTAATCCTAGCCCTGGCAGCCCGAACGCAATGGCGCACGTGCATCTGTGCCCTGAACCCCGACAAGCTGGCGAAATGGAAAAGAAGGACTGCCATGGCCACGCCTCGAGGGCTACTTGCTCTCTGGTGCACGTTTACGCCTCTAGCGACTGAAGAATTATTTTTTTTTAAAGAGAGAAACCACCCTATTATATACCAGCTTTTTCACTTCCCATCACCTGTCATACTGTGTTCGAGCCTTAAAGGATTTTAAAGTTCCCCTAGCTTAGTGATTTTTATAACATTATTTTTTTTTTCAGCAATAAAGATTTTAGCCCAAAGCAGAGGTCCAAGATAGAAATGTGGGGTGGCCTTGCTCTGGCTGGGGCTTGAAGCACAGGTTGGGGGGTGTTGGCTCCTAGAGCTACTTCTCGCAGGCCTCACGGGGAGCCCAGGGGCCCTGGGAACACGTGGATACCACACAAAGGTACAGGGCCAGGGAGGGGCTGAGCTCAGCGGCCGGGTGTGGAGCTGGCCCTGCTCTGCAGCCGGCCTGCTACCCACGCTGGGACAGACGGAGACATGGCGGGCTCCCCTCCCCAGCCAGCACAGTACCTCGCTCGTACAACCGTATGGCTTCCAGGAGGTAGGGCACCAGGAGGCGGTTCACGATGAACCCGGGAGTGTCCTGGACGGGAGAGAGAGTGGACATCCAGTCAGGGATGAGACCTTTTAAAATCCAAAGGATTTAAAACACAACTAAACAGGGCCGGGTGATGGCATGGTGGTTAAAGCACTGTACTCCAATACGGCTGACTCCGTGCTCCGAGTTCCGGACCTGGCGGCTTGAAAATCACACCGGGCACACGTGTGTGTGCCCGGAATCCCAAGAGGAGAAGGGAGGAGAAGGGACTACGGCATGGATATGCCCCTGGGGGGTGAATCCTCACTTTCCCTCTGTCTCTCCAGTGAGCGCATGCAACCTATGGCAAAAATCTAAAAATAAAAAACAACCTAAACAAACACAGAATGGGTGTTAAAACTGAGACTGTCTGCTGACCACACCCCCCAGGGCCGGGTCGGCACCCACAGGGCTGTCCTCTTAGCATTGAGGTCCGCACTGCCAAGTGGCTTATTCAGGTGACTTGTGCGTTAGTAAAACACTGAGTTCAAACCCGAGAATACTTTAGGAAGCAGAAGCATGCCGTGAGAAGAGCCACCATGGTATAAAATATCATGATTTTAAAAAAAACAGACGACTGGCCCAGCTTCGGGGCTCACCTCCACGCACGCAGGGCCCCGTGAGGACCTGCAGAGCATGCCGAGCGCGGCCCCCGGGGCACCAGGCTCTAGAGCAATGGCGGACGGAGGCGACAGCAGCGAGCAGGCGGCGGGGGACCGCCGGGCGTGCTGCACGCGGGAGGGCGCTGGGAGCTGGCGGGGCAAAGGCCGTGTAGTGCCTCCCGCTCAGCCGGGCTTCTCACTGAAGGGTAAACCAAACGGAGACAGACACAGCGGACGCCCCGGGAACAGCTTCCGGTGTTCCTCCGGGCAGCACAGTCCCTCACTGCCCTCGCCGTCTGCCACGTCCTTTCCAAGCAAAGCCTGGCCTCCTGACAGGCAGGCCCGTGTTCCCAGGCGCACCTGGCCTGCGAGGTCTCCGGCTCCAGCCGCCCGAGGCAGCCAAGCCGTCTGTGAAATGCAGCCGCTTGTCCAGAGAAAAGCCAGAGCCTGGGAGCCGGTGCAAGTGGCCTCGAGTGGCCCAGAGCCTGGCTCCTGCCTCCAGACTCCACAGAGGGACAGTGCAGACACGACACACGGACAGGCCTCGCTCAGCACTGCCCGCCGTGCGCATAGTTCTCGCTTGCTCTTCTCAATTTGCCAGAGGGCATGTGTGCTCCCCAGAGACAGAGAGCAAGTGAGAGGGAAAGTGAGAAAGTCTCCCATGGGATGCCACTGTCCTCCATCTCTCCCACCCTTCGCGGTCTGGGGCACGAACAGGCACCCAGTGTGCTGCTTAAGCCACCAGGTCCAGGACGCGAATGCGCCGTCAGCCGAGAGGGCTCTCCTGTCTTCACCTCAGCAGGGCTGGCCCTCTCACATCACTAAAGCGTCTTCCAGGAGTAGGTCCGAGGTCACGAGTGTTTTCCACTCAACTGTGCGGGAACCGGGGACCGACTCCTTCCCAAGCCCCTGCACTCTACCTTGCAGGAGACAGGGTGCTTCCCCAGGGCCTTGCTGAAGTCCAGCAGAGATTCGAACGTCTTCTGGCTGGTCATGGGCGTTTTAATGACCTGGAAACGCACAGAGTCAGGGACAGATGTCAGCAAACCATGTCGGCCGAGTGGTTCGAGGAAGCGCTGATCACGAGGGCCCACACGTGCTGCAAGTAAGCCGTGTTTCTAAACAGCAGGTGGGTCCTCGGCCACAGGAGAAGTGCCTCCCAAATGCCCATCGGAGGGCGACAGGATCAAGACTCACGAACACACGAGCAGACTTTGTGACTGTGACAGTCCTGGCTTCAAATCCCAATTGCCGCTCAGTGGCTAGGTGACCCCGGCACGTTTCTCAAAATTGAAATGACACTGAAATCACTCCGACCACCTCCTGGTGCTGAGGTGGGAACAGAGCGGGATCAGAGGGTAGAACCCCTGAGACAGGAAGTGCTCTGCAGCCTCTGTCTCCCTTAGGTGCCACAGCTGCTGTGAACCCCTGCTGGGCACCAGCAGGAGTGAGAGTGAGGGGAAGGAGCCCAGGAAAACAGATTACCCGTCACTGCCTCCCGGGCTCCTAGAGGGTTCCTTATGCCCACCCTGCCCGGCACCCCCAGGGCCGACGGCCTCGCTCCTGACAGATCATCCTCCAGGGAAGGCCTTCTTTTCATTTCTTTTCTTTTCTTGAGAGAGATTTTTGCTTTAGGGTGTGTGTGTGTTCAGCAAAGAGACAGAAAGGGAGAAATCGGCCCCCAGGGAGATGTTCCCACTGCAACCCCTTTTCTTCCATCCTCCTCTCGGGACTTGGGACATGCACGCGCATGTGCACCCAGCTTGAATTTTAAGCTGCCATGTCTGGGACTCGAACTGCAGTCGGGGTGGGAGTCCACCACTGTAACCATTACGCCATCTGCTGGTCCCGGGAAGGCCTTCATTTACCCAGACTCTGCCCATGCCTGGGGCTGGGCAGCCACTGCCACACACACGGCCTCCGTGACATCGGCTGGATGCACGCACAGGTGTGACAGCGATGCCGCTGACATCTATGGAGGATGGTGGCAAGTTTCCACCGACAGTGCGCCTGCATGGTCAGCCTTCATGGCAGCAAGAGAACTCGCCTCTAGGAGTGAAGTTTCGGGAAGTGGAGAGACTCAGGTGAATTTAAACTAGTATTACATGCACACACTTCTCTAAGTCTGAATGCGCGCACGCGTGCGTGTGTGCGTGCGTGTGTATAATTTGAATGGCGGTAAAAACCTTGGAACATGGATCAAGCCATGGCATGTTAATAGGTGTGGCTTCTGGGCCAGAGCCCCCATGTGGTCCTGGGTAATGGCCTCCCTCTTCTCTGAAATAGGGGTCACATCACTTATCCCCTGCCCCCAACAATCCCAGGTAGAGGTGGATACTGTCAGAGACGTGTCCTTGAAAAGGAGGGTTTACGTTACGTAACCTACAGGAGTCGGCCTCCCGGCCACCACATGCCATGGCAGCCAGTGGCTCCCGGCGGGGGCCCCGCGGGCGTGGGGCCAGGCCAGCCAGTGGCTCGGAGCGGGGCCCGCGGGCAGTTGGCTGGCTGAGCGCGGATCCCACCCCCTGCTCTGTCCTACATCAGGGCGGATATGGTCTTCCTGCTCCCAGCCCCTCCCTGAGCTCCCCAACTTCTTCGAGCGCAGCCACAGGGGACAACAGAGGCTGGACAATGCACGGGACACACACTTCCGCAGGCTGGCTCACAGCCCTGGCTGGAGAGAAAACGAGGCCACGTGGTGTCGTTACGATTTATCTGCGTGGACAGCAGAGGACACGGGAGGAGCAGTGTGTCGGGGAGCTGTCAGTGAGGACAACAGGCCCGGTACAGGCTCCAGAGAGGCCGCCAGGCCCTCGAGAGATGCTGACTCCATGCCCTACACTTCACACGGCCTCAGAACAAACGCAGCTTTAATAGCAGCTGATCCCCAAGCCCTGTAATTAGCCCCTGTGAAGGCAGGCTGCCACACTCCAGAGGCCCGGCCTGCACTGCAGACGCGTGGCCCACACTGCAGACACACGGCCCACACGGCCCACACTGCAGATGCACGGTCCACACTGCAGACACACGGTCCACACTGCAAACGCACGGCCCACACCGCAAAAGCACAGTCTACACTACAAAAGCACAGTCCACACTGCAGACGCACAGCCCACACTGTAGACGCACAGCCCACACTGTAGACGCACGGTCCACACTGCAGACACACGGCCCACACTGCAGACACACGGTCCACACTGCAAACGCACGGCCCACACCGCAAAAGCACAGTCTAAACTACAAAAGCACAGTCCACACTGCAGACGCACAGCCCACACTGTAGATGCACAGTCCACACTGCAGACGCCACAGCCCACACTGCAGACACACGGCCCACCCAGCCCACACTGCAAATGCACGGTCCACACTGCAGACATGCGGTTCATAGCGGCCCCACCTTCCTCCCCAGTCTCCAAGCAGACACACAGCCCTCCGGGCCCCCCCACATCCTACACATCCCGGGGTGGTCAGGAGGGTCAAGGCTGTCGGGGAGCTTCTGATAGCTGTCATCACAGCACACAGGAGAGGGTCTCATCTAGGGTCAACCCTGAGGCTGCCACGCGGGGTCACAGTTCACCCAGGACAGCGGGCAAAGCAGCAGGGCGGTCTGCGCAGCATGGAGCCAACTGACCCCGGAGAAGGTACAAGCATCTGCTGTTCTCCCGCTGGGCTCACACGGGGCCAGGGCCTTGGTGCTCAGCCGGCCTCTCGGCACGGCCCGCCCAGCAGCTCCGCCACTAACACAGCTGAGGACCTCCAGGGGCACTGGCCAGGACGCAGGGAGCAGCACAGGCCTCCCGGTACAGGTGACCCCCAACTCTGGAAAGATGACAGTGTGCAGGGACAGCTCCCTGCCCGTGGAGCCCTCCTGCACAAGCCTACCCCGGGGCGGCCGTGCACGGAGCCAGGTCGAGACCCCACTGACCTCCACGAGCTTCATCAGCGGCACCGGGTTGAAGAAGTGGAGGCCCCCAAACCGGTCCTGCCTGGTGGTGGCGTTGGCGATGCTGGTGATCTGCAGTGAGGACGTGTTGCTGGCAAAGATGGTGTGCCTGCAGGAGGGATGGGCGTGAGCACGGGCGATGGCGCTCACCGCCCGGCGTGCAGTCCTGACCCTGCGGACGCTCGGGCACCGCAGAGAGTGACCTCAGTACACTTGGGAACTGTAAATTAAGCAAGACGCCTACTCTTAAGGGGCTCCTAATCTTCATCTACTCTTAATTTCAGGGACCGATTTCTCTCCTGTCTGTTCATGGGAGCTCACTGTCACGGAGTGTGTGAAGAGGCAGCGGTGGCGGCCAACTGGTCAACCACTTCACCAGCTCTGGGTGCACGATGAAATTCCGAGTGACCAAAGGCTGGTGAAGGAAAGACGCCCACGCTTCTATCAGCCGAGGACCGGAGGCCAACACCTGCATCCTCCAGGAGGAATGCAGACCCGGTCCCTCTGAGTGCAGAGCTGGACTTCCCCATCAGCGGGAGTTACAGTGAGAACAGAAAAGCAGCTCAGGGCAGGGGCAGCTGGAGGGTCACGCAGGTGGACGCAGGGATGGGGGATCGCAGACATGAGGAGTCTGGGCAACAGAGTCCGCGTGCAAATCTCCTTAGTGAGCACTACTGTCTCCTTCTATGTGGACGAAACATGCATGTATTAGTTTTAAAAAATCCCTACTGTCTGGAACAAATCTAACTTTTTAGGACCACAGGCAGACATGCGGTGTCTGTCTCCAGCCACCGCCCGCTCCCCGGGCTCCCCAGAGGTACCCCATGACAGCACCTGGCTCTGCCTTTCAGTCCCACAGAGCAGGGCGGAGTGTGGCCAAGAAGCCATGAGGACAGCGAGAGCCAGGGCAGGTGGCTCGTCACCCACGGCCAGGGGTCAGACACTGCGGATGCTCCACCGCAAGGCAAGGTGGGACACGTGCAGCAGAAGCCTGGGGACTCCCACAGCCACCCGGCTTGGTTCCCTGCAGGCCGAGGTGTGGGAGGCCCCCTCTGCCACCCCTGCCAGGAGAGAAGTCACGCCCTTTTAACACTTGCAAGTGATTCGCTGAGCCCAGCTAAAGCTCTGAGGAGGTGAGCGTGGGGGAACGTGGCGTAGACAGAGAGGATCCCCTTCACACACCACCCGACTGCTCCACTAAAGAAGGGGCCACCGCAAGCCCACCCTGAGGTTCTCCAGGAGACATTAAGGACAGGCCCGGGCCTCCCACTCTTGGCATGGGAAGGCCCCTGAATAGATGGGCCTGTTCCCGGGTCGATGCTTCATTTCACCATGGGGCTCCCACCTGCACGTGGGGACAAGAACCCACTCAGGCGGCCCGAGCCGCAGGAGCTGCTGGGAGCAGGGAGACAGAGAGCAGTGGGGAGGCACGGGCGTGTCTGGGAATGCTGAGGGGCAGTGAGGGGTGGACGGGCACCCAGAGTCCCCAGCAGGGCAGGCAGGCTGGAGGGCCACTACGCCGGGGTGAGGGCCGGGGCACCCGGCAGACGCCCACACATACTCAGCGGCGAACTTGTCCAGCCTCCCAAAGAGCTCGTTCTTGACGGCCGGGCTCTCGACGACGGCCTCCACCACCAGGTCCGTGCTGTGGACAGCGGCCGCGGCGTCTGTGCTGGTGGCAATGTTGCTCAGGGTCTTCTCCACGAAGTCCGCGCCGGCCTAGAGCAGCGGAAGGGCGGGCTGGAGGCTCAGGACCACGCTGCATGACACGCCACCATGCTAAGCAAGAGCTGGGGGACACCCTGTGCCCAGACGCCACCCGCAGGCACTCGAGCCTCCTAGGGATGGACCCGCCTGCGGCTCAGGGGCCTCTGGGTGCCGGGGCGGGAGCCGGCCTGTGCACAGGGCCTCAGAGAGATGGCAGTCCGGCCGTTACTGAACTGCTCGGGACACCGGTGCGACCATGGGCTGTCCTCGGCGTGTCCACACCCTGTACTGCCCTCCAGAAAAGGGCCGAAGCAAGCTCAGCACACCACCGGTCTCACGGGGTGCCCACCACGCCTGGAGGCAGTGAGGAAGACGGAGCGGGGGCCGGGTGGCCACGCAGCTGCCACGTGCCCTCGCCCGCTGTAGCCCACCACCACGCTTTCCTCTCCCAGGCCAGGTTTCCACAGTGGACCCGGCTAGGGCGGAACCAGACAGTGCCTATCGTGAGAGTCTGTGCGCCGGGTCCAACAGCCAGTCAGAGGGCACCATGGTCGCCAGGGAGTGAGTAGCGAGGCCTAGCTGCCCACGGACGAACAACGAGAGGGCCTGGCCCGCATTCCGCCGGTCACATCAGAAAAGGGGGACGAAAGCAACGGTGCGGCTCTTTGCCTTGCCCCAGCAGCCCTAGGGCGCACATGGCAACACGGGCAGCATGAGAGCAGGGAGGGGTCTCCTTTCCCTCTGCTCGCTCTGAGTCCGGGCGTCCGTCCCACAGGGCACGTCTGTACCCAGGTGTTCGCAGCCACTGCGGCCTGTAGCCACACAGCACGTCAACCTGCAAGTGGAAACGCCACCCCTCACCTGGTGGCGACCCTGGCAGAGGAGAGACACCAAGACCCAGACCCCGAGCAGCCTCCAGGGGGGAGCCGCGGAGCAGTGAGCCTCAGCGTGTGGCCGGAGCTCAGCAGCTCAGCTCGCCGAAAAGGTCAGTTGGAGGTTTGCAGGGCAAACAGGACAGGCGGGTTCAGGCCACCTCCAGCCTAGCCCAGGGTTCCTCTAATCCCACCTGCTGAGACCCTCATGGGGGCACCCTGCACATGGGCCCCGTGATTAAGAACACAGGGACAGGTGAAGAGGGGCTCAACTTGCCCATGATAGTTACTCTCTGACGTCACTGAGAGGGTAAGCCACCCCTCAGCCCTCCGGGTTTTAGGAGATTAGACATCAGGAAAGGCCCAAACGGGAGCAGGCCCCAGAGCACAGCGGTCGGAGTAGCCCAACTGCACAGACCAGCTGAGGTTGGCCTCCCAGCTCCAGTAGCTGGAAAATCACACGGGGTGTGTGTGCACGCACACGCATGAGTGTGCACGCCCACATCCCTATGGGACAGAGATGAAGAAGGGCTTCTGGCACAAACGTGTCCCACTGGGGTGCTCTCTCCCTCTCTGTCCTTCCTGGAGTTTAACGTGTGCTCTCTGGCAAAGACGGCAAGCGAGCTATGGAGAATGAGCTCGGCCCAGCATTCCCCCTGCAGTGGTGACAGAAAGCCAAGGCCGGAAACCCAGCCCAGGCGTGAGGCCATCGGAGGACTGGGCAGAAGGATGACAGGGGCAGAAGTACCTTAGGGTTCTCTGCAAACTTCTTCTTTGCCACCTTCCTTAGGCTTTCTTCGATTCCCTTTTTGGCCTTTGCCAGAATATCTTCGGTCTGGTCCACCATCACCACCGTGTGGCCGGTGGCCGCGGCGACCTAGTACAGAGAGGAGAGTGGTGTCGTACAAGAGCGGCCACGGTTCCAGCTCGGCCCGCACCCCGCTCCGCCACTTGGATGCTGGCGACCCGAGAGGCCCAGGTGCAGCCCCAGCTCTGTTCCGCCCCCCCACCCTGGAACACACCGCCTTCTCCGACAGCCTTCTGAGGCCATGCAGTGTCCCCACCATGGCAGGCCACAGCACAGTGGGGCTCAGTCAGGGTTCCCAAGGCCCCACCAGAAATCCCTCCCCTGGGCGGCTCCCAACACTGTGCTGCCAGAGACAGGAGCTGGCCACGCGTGGTTCCTCAGCGAGCTGGCCGCGATTCCGGGCACCCACACCCGGGCCGCCATTCCTCTTCCTTCAGGCTGGAGCACCAGTGCTGCTGGGCCCCTGGCCCTTCTCTTCAGACACCCCACGGCCAGCAGGTGGGACTTTTTTTTAGGTTCTTGTCATAGGACATGTGCGCTCATTGGACAGAGACACAGAGGGAAAGTCACCCCAGGGGCATGGCCACATCTCCTCCTGGAACTGTGGGCATGCACACACGCACCTGGCATGGCCACACCTCCTGGAACTGTGGGCATGTACACACGCACCTGGCATGATTTTCAAGCTGCCAGGCCCAGGACTTGAACTGTCAGCCATGTAGGAGTCCAGTATCGCAACTACCACGCCACCTGCTGGCCTACATGTGCACCTTTTAAACTCTGATACTGGTGGCAGGAGACTCCTGTTCTGACATAAGCCAAGGGCCATCAGCGACGAGGCTTCCAAGCAAGCAAAGTCTCTCGCAATGGGCAAGCGTGGCATGAGCACCACCCCCCAGGCAAGCTTGACCCAGAGAGTGACGCAAGGGCACACAAGGCCAGCTGGGTTCAGTCACACTCCGTGACAGGCAAGCCTTGTTCTATCACCGTCTGCCAACAGCTTTGGCAAGGACCACGGAGTAGGCAGTGTGACTAAAATTAGGCCATCAGGCCACCTTCAGGAATGAGGTCGACCCGGAAGCGAGGGGACACACATGGCCGAGGACAATCAGAAGTGAGGGAGAGCCCAGTGCCACGGAGATGCCCACTGGGTCCAAGGAGCACCTCGCAGGACTGGCTGGAGCGGGGTGCAGCAGTGGCAAGTGGCAGAGGCCAGCCTGCAGGACAAGCCTGCCCTGAGAACACCCGGCACCCGTGAAAGCTATCCCGCGTCACCGTTCTGACATGTGAGTTCCGAGGCCAGGCAACGAGCACTCACGGCAGAAGACCAGGGAGGGACAGAGGCTGAAGAGGCAAACCCACAGGGAAAGTGGCCCCAGGCCCTAAACGGGGACAGTGGCGCAGCTGCAGGGCCGAGGCTCTGCTCAACAACCTGAGGTGAGAAAGTGTGCGCACGCTTGGGAGCCCGAGGACAGATGGAGCCAGGCCTGGGGCGCCATCACAGCGGTGCCTGCTGGCCAGGTGGCCGCCCCCGGGCTCTGGAGCCTGCTACACCCAGAAAGGCCCAACGCCACGCCTCCCCGACGCCATGCCTCCCCCGGTGTGCACAAGCATGGCCGTGTGACTGCACAGGGTTGAGAAGGTGCCAGGCGGGGGCTCAGGACAAGCTTGCTGGAGGCTCCCGGGAGACGCTTCATGCCACGCTGCCCCATGCCTGGGCACGAGCATGTTCCCACTCACTGGAAGGTCCCGCAAACTCTGCCCAGACCCCGACCTGCCTGCCTTCCCCGCTGCTGTGCTGCCCTGGGTTCTGTCACCTGAGCTGCAGCGGCGAGCACCCAGCCCAGGACGAGTAAGGACGCAGGAGCCTGCCACCCTTCCAGAGAGCCCTGGGACCTGGCAGGAGGGCAGGGCAGGCGCCGGCACTGACACCAAGGTGGAGACTCAAGTGCAGGGCACCCTGGGGGTACAGCTGTCGGTGTTGGTCCAGGTGGGGTGCTGGCTGCCAGGCTGAGCAAGCAGGGGCTGAGGGGACCTCCCTCAGTGCTTCGGCTCCTCCCACAGCCTCCTCTCTGGAATGGCTTCTGCCCTACTTACCCTCCAGAACAGGCCAAACAGGCTTCCTGGGGTTCCCGCCCACTCCCTGGCTCCCATCCCAGCTCCCCACGTCCCCTCCCCAGGCTTTCTATGGGCTGCACTGCAGGGGCGGGATGGGGGAGCCTCCAGCACATCTGGGTCAGCTTGGAGCCAGATGAGGGAGCAGGACAGGGAAAGCCAGAAGGGCAGCACCGAGAACACGAGCTAGCACGTGTGCATACACACACACACATACATGCACATGCACACACACATGCCAGGCTCCATCTCCACGTCAAACTACAGCATGGAAGGCTGCCAGCCCCAGGTCTCCATGGTGGGGAGAAGTCACGCAGCACAGCCGAGGGGTCCTGCCAGCCTGCAGGTCCCCGAAGGCGGACAGATGTCCCACAGCACACGCTGACCTAGCAGGTGGGGTGTGGTGGCGAGGGAGGCAGGTGACACCCGGCACCGTTTCTAGAAACCCGCCTGCAGCTGCCGCGTCCGGCTGGCCCTCCGATCTGCACAGGCAAGCCCCAGGCAGGAGGCGAGGCAGCCCTGAGAGGAAGCCCTTGCACACCAAAGGCAATACACAGCCATAAACACCCCCACCTTCAGCCGGGATAAGCCATGACCAAGAAGCATGCACCTAAACGCCGACTCTCTCCCCCTACCGGACACCCCCACGGGGTGGAAGGCCCAGCCAATGCGTCATTGCCCTCCTCTGCTCTGAAAGGCCACATCGCAGACGACATGCAGCAGACCCGGCTGCAATGTCCCCGAGACAGCGAGGCCGTTTGAAAAGCACGCTGGAGAACAAGTGCAGGCGTGGGTCGCCACGTCGGGGTGACGGTGCCTGGAAGACAGCGCTTTACTTCCCCACCTCACCCAGAAGACACGGGGTGCGAAGAGGGCCCAGACTAGGAGAGAGGGACACCCCCGGCCTTCCCAGACCTCCTCCCTGGCCACCGTCCTGCCCTGCACAGCCCCTCAGCCCCTCCTCTGCCCAAAGAGCCAGCGTCTCTGGGAACGGCGGCACCTGCTCTCGCCCACCCACGTGCATGGGCCCTTCTACAACCTTAGGTCCGCGGACCTGGCGTTTCTGGTCCCTGGGAAGGCAGTAAGGAACTGTCTGTGCTAAGTGGTCACCTCGAGCTGTTAAAAAAGTCCTCCCACACGAGCTCTTCTGTCCTAGGGACGCTCCCAGTTAGATATTCCACAGAGACAGAGAGGACACTCCTGCATAAACCCCATGTGGCGGTGGTTAGGTGTGCCTGGAGAAAACACAGGCAAAGAAGAGAAAACGCAACTCTCCTTGGAAAGTTTCCACGCCAGGCTGGACTGGGAGGCAGGGGACAATTTATGAGAGAGCACAACTTTAATGACGTTAAGCAGAGGTAGTGGCTTTTTTCTTTTCCATAGGGTGGTGGACAGACGGTGAGAAAGAAACTAAGAAATCATCCCCCAGGGGATGGCCATGCCTCAATCCCTTCTCCTCCATTCTCCTGGAATTGGGGGCACGCACACACACCTGGCATGATTTTCAAGCCGCTGGGTCCAGGACTTGAATCGCAGTCAGCCATGTGGGAGTCCAGCACCTTAACCACCATGCCACTGCTGGCCCCCATCTAAAGCTTCTTAAAGCTTGCTCACACTCCTCTCAGGCCATCACAGCCCAACCTTCCTCTGCCCTCACTGAGCTCTGGCCTCCAGGCCCACCCGGGTGCCCCTCCCTGCACCCGTCAGAGCACGCACACATGGCCACCTCCGGCCAGGGCTGCCTATTCCAGCTGTGAGCTCCTTCTTTTTCACCTTAAAGTCTCCTTCCATCCCTTCCTTCCTTCACTCCTTCCTTGAATTACTCCTAGTGGCTGCTGGGGCTTCGTCTCTCCATGACAGACATGGTCATTCACAGCGGGGTGTGATTGCTCCTCTGGAGCAAAGCCCAGAGACGTTCAGTGATTCGGCCCCTCGCAGCTCCGGGTCCGTGCTGGTCTGGACCTGAGACCAGAACAAGAAGGGCCGTGCCTTCCTGGGAGCGGTGCGGCTGTGCTGGAGCACAGGCGGCTGGACGGGGGCCTTTGGCTAGCCCGGCTGAGAACCGCAGAGATTAGATAATGCCTTAGAGGCCGGCCTGGGGGCTGAGCAGGCAGCAAGCTGAACGGCGGGGCTCACCGTGGCTCAGATCCACGTGCTGGCTTGAAAACACACCAGTGTGTGGCGCAGGCCTCGTCTCGCCGACATGGAGGGCAGGGACAGGGGTCGCAGCTGATCTGACCCTGTTGAAGGTATCACTCTCTCTTGTGCACACACACACCCTCTCATGAACCAAACATAAGATAAACACGCTTTAAAAAGTGCTCTCTGTGGGAACCAGCAGTTAGCGTAATGGCTATGTCGCTGGACTCCCACGTAGTCGACCGTGGTTCGTGTCCCGGACCCGGTGGCTTAAAACTCACGCC